CACTTTATTTACAACGCGATTAATTTTTGTTCCAACTTATTTTATAGCTCTGGTCCAGGCATGATTTTTTAAAAAGGCACTTTCCTTAAAATTTAAAAGGCAGCATGTTTAWTTGCACTATTTTTCTAACAATGATTCACTTTTTTGTTAATTAAGCCAATGTATTATATTGRTTTTATGCAATGGTCGAAAAAGTTACATTTAAGCTGATATGTTCAAAACTTACTAAATGCGAAAAAGACACTTTATTGTCTGTATTTGTCATTCTGTAATGCAAAGCAGACTGGAGTGGATCATGCAGATTCTATAGACTGAAGCAGATGTTTTTATAAATCAAATCTTTTTGAATTGAAAATCGATTTTGAATCGAATCGTGACATAGTAAAAGATTCCCACCCCTAATTGGTAATTGAAAATAAAGTCACGTGGGACTAATATCATCTTATAACGAGAAAGAACACAGTTATAGCTGTTTTGGTCAAACCTTATAAATGACATTTTGTGGGATCTCATGTGAGTAAATTTGTTGGGGATGAATCTCAGGTGATGGCATACCAAATTTAGCCCAATATTTCCAAATTTTATGGAGTTATAGACATTTTTAAAATGGCTGTGAGTTAGTTGTGTTGACCATCTTGAAGTATGACTCCAAAGGTAAATTACTTTGAAATTTTCATAAAAATCCACAAATTTTGCTAATGTGTGCACACACYCTAGGACATGTAATTGAAAGATTTCTGTTGTTTTTTTTATTATAAACCAGTCCCATTGGTTTTCTTAGATATTATGACATTCATGTGAAAAGCTGCTTTCCGCAGTCCTCAAAGCACTTGTGGCATCTATCTGCTGGGTTTCTGTCTGTTAAGATGAAAGGAGGTGAAAGCCTAACATCACAGAGTAAAGTCTTTTTGTGGAGAAACAGTCAGGTTTTGTTCTGCACTCAATTTGCAGCATGTCTCATAGTTACTCTGCCCTCTGATCTATTGAAATTCATTTTCATTGGAAAAAAGAAATAGCATGTCTGTTTTTCATGGCATGGTTATTTTTCTCCTTGTTGAATATTGTGTGAAATGTTGAGTTGAGAAGTCATCCATTTATTCTTTGATCTTCAAGAACTGACATCAAGACGTACACAATTTAAAACACTGAACCTTTTTTATACATTCACAAAGTTGAAAATTTGATGTCTGTATTTCCTCAGCTTTCTGGGACCCCATTCTTCTTGACTAGAGGTGGGATATATGGCTTTTTGAGGGATGCTGAATCTAGAAGATCTGCTTGTTTCAAAGTGACGTACTWTGTAAGGGCAGTACATTTTTGGGGTGTGGGGAAAACCTGAGTACTCAGAGAAAACCCACGCAAGCACAACAAGAATATGCAAACTCCACGCAGAAAGACCCCAGGTCTGAACCGGGGATTGGACCTAGGACCTCCTTGCTGTGAGGCATCAGTGCTAACCACTGAGCTGTTGTGCTGCCAATCATTGCGATACAATCTGGTGTAGTAGTAGCTGGTTGTGACTACTATAACAATTATGTTGATATATAAATTTCATAAGTGTCTGTTTATATGTTTCAATCATAACTATGACCATTATTGAAACAACTTCTTCCTGTTTTTGTCACAGAAAATTAGAGAAAGAAGATTTAGCACAAGCAAGCACAATTYTGATTTGAACGTGTCTCAGGATGGGTCAGGGTCTTCTTCACACAGCATTCTGCCCAGGGAATAACATTTTTACATCACAGATAATTTATTTRTACAGCTTTCTATTAATACTTTTCTATATTTACTGTTCAAACCAATTCTCTTCTTTGCACAGCCAAGATCAATACAATCATTTCTCTAATAGCACCATCCATCAAATGGTGCTGTGTGTCCGTTTAAATGACATCTATTAATAGATAATGTGTGACATTGCAAAATTCTCAATCAGTCGAGGGCGGGGTATCTGTCAGGTCTAAATAAGCTGACAAACACATGCCAACACATTCATATCAAGCTCAYATGACTGCAGGTTATGAAATTTTGATGCTACTGCCAAATAACGTCTGAGGATGTGAGAAAATTTCTAATTGCCCYTGCTGCCGGCTGCCTACATCCAAATTGGTGGCGTGCACTGAGCAGCAGTCCAAAAGCTCCATGAACAGGTACATCACATTGCAATCCATAACATCTGTCAGAATAACCTGCCAGACTCCTACAGGTGAGTCACATCTCTCCTTCAGATCTCCAGAAAAAGCATATTTTGTATTTGGGTCACAAAACAATTAGGAAACTACATTAGCTCACTGTTGCTCATGGTCATTGGCACATAATCACCATTGGCACAAAATCACCTTGTAGAGATGTCAGACTCGTCGGTAGCACTCACCTACAGCCTTCAGCGAGGCATATTTGTTCAGATCCTTGTTTTGCTGCTGCTGCTGCTGCTGATGTTGTTGTTGTTGATGATGTTGTTGTTGTTGTTGTTGCTGTTGCTGCTGCTGTTGCTGCTGCTGCTGCTGTTCGTAGACATGAGCCAGTTGGCTGAGGGCTGGGTACGGTTGTGGTGGGCCAACATTTGAGACAGATCCCAGGTTGTTGTTAATCTGGCCACTCTCTATGGACAAGAACAGAAAATAGGACAAGGTTACCATCATGTTCTAAATCTCAGCCTTCTGGCCGACAAAAGGTTTGCTTAAGGACAAAATGACAGGAARTCTTGTGTTCAAACTTACGTAACTTTCCTTTTTATATAGTGCTGCTTCTTCATCAATTGTATTCAGTTTAAATTCAACTGATTTGTTTTTTGTTATCAAGTCTTGCAGCCATTTTCAAGCTGTYAGCATCTTATTTTTTCATCTTATACATTACACTTGATATTTAACACAAAAGMCTGATCATGCTCATCAAAACCTTTACAGCTCAACATTCTATGAAACAGTTGCTTGTGAAGGACAAATTTCTTTTTGTTTATTAAAGTTTAAAGTGGAATATGTTTCTTTTGTACTAACAGAAGTATATTTGTCTCAAGCCTAAATAACATTTTTATTGAATTTAAAAACATTATTTAAGTTGAATATAATCAAAATTATACAATACATGCTTTAAATAAAGATTTTTTTCCTCACTATACAAGAGATGAATCTTGATCTCAACAGATGAAAGTGGATCTTATTTCCCTTACCTTACCTATACTGAATATAATGCATATGAGATGTTTTCATTAATATTAACAATTTTCTGTAAAAGGGTCACAGTCTTCAAAGTGAAAAATGACTGGCATTTCACATTTTTTCAATCTCAATTAATGATTCTTGTATTGTTGAATGGTTCTTTTGTAATAAATGTTTGAGCTTGTATTTTTTTTTGGTCAACCCTGCTTCTAACAAAATTGAGGCAGAATAGCATGCATATTCATYGTTGTGAATAATCTTTAACTTCATAAAACCCATTTTGTTATTGATGGTAAGCCTTTCAGCTTTTGCGCAATTTGTTGGTTTGGTTGTTTTTGTAGGATAGTGACCCTCAGTGACCAGGATTGGTCACTCCTGCTTCTATATGGTCACCCTGGCACAATTCACTGATGGACAAGCAGATCACATCATGGTAGCACAATGCTACCACCACTGGCATCACATTTATGCTACATTCTTTTTATGACCTTGTCATGATCATGAATGCAGCTGATGTAAAGCACAGTTTTTACATTGAAATAGCTTTTCCAAATTTGCTGCAATCCAGCTAGGTTCTAATAGGTTGTGTAGGCTGTGGAGCAGTGTCATCCTGTAGAGTGGGCCTTAAACCTACTTCACACTCCTTCCAAACTGCCGAAATCGACTCGGATTGCCGCAGTTTCATGACGAAAATTACGTCACTCGTGTTCTCAGCGTCGACTTGGCCGCCCCTTTTGTTACAACCTGCCGGCAATACTTTTTACTCTTCTCCACATAAGAACTAACTGTGTGACTG